ACAAATTGACAGACTGGTGAAGGTTGAACTATATTAGATATCAAGTCAGTTGCCAGAAAGGCAAGCTGGATGAAGTGATATTTATTATGGAGACAGTAGCGCCATAGTGACAGGTCAGGGTTGAATGTTGAGCTAAATATTATTAAGTCAGTAGCCAGTTACTGACAGGCTGTCTGTGAAGGCTGAGTTTTATTTTGAAGTCAATATCTGCTGTTGGCTGAGCTTTATAATCAAGGCAATAGCTATATTTTGTCAGGCTTGATAAAGGTTAGGCTTATTATGAATTAGATAATAAGACTTTGGCACACTGGGAGAATGTTGAGCATGAAGTCAATAGTTAGATTATACAGGCTTGACTAAGGCTTAAGATTTATATGAAATCACTGTCTACATGTACCATTTTTACATTTGATTATGGCTAATTTTATGATGAAGTCAATAGCACATATTAGCATGCTTGGTGAAATCCAAGTTGAAACTAATAGCTGAAGAAAGAATTAGCTGTATTATGAAGTTTGCAGTCAGATAATGGTTGGCATGATGATAGCTATCAGAGTTGAAGGTCGGCTGGTAGAATAATAGCATGCATAACTTGGGAAAGCCTTAGCTCTATTGATAATAAATAACAAGCATTGAATATAAGCTGAAGGAAGAATAACATTGAAGTGTGCTGCAATATGATGGTTACAACTGATACCACAACAGATGATAATGGAATTTATATCAAATGTGAAATATTGTTAAATAATGAAACATAAGTGTTATTAAGCTGACTAGAGCAGAATATGATACCACAATGATGAAAAATCTCCATTGTACATTTAAATAAATCTTCTTGATTCTGTAATGAATTCAGGTTATTAGCTTTGACTGAAAAAAAGTTTTTGTTTTGTGATGCAAATTGAATACATTTATCTGTATAATCAATAAAAAGGTTTTAGATATTGATTCTTTTGACAAGTTTAATAGGGAGAGGGTCACAAGGGTGCTTAGATTCAATGATTTACACAAGATGGCTCAGTCAGATTCCTTTTTACTGAGTGTGTTATAGCAGAAGATGACCTATCAATTATTAAATTGCTATTCAGCTAGGGAAATAACTTTATTGAAGAAAATTTTCTAATTCTTGTCTGGCATTTTAGGCTTTATGAAAATAATCGCATTTATTTTTTTTTAAATTAAGAATAAAAAAAATTTTTTGATGTGTATCTCCCTAGCAAAAGTTGTAAAATTGGTGTAGGAATAAAAAAAACATGTACTTGTGGATGCGTAATGTAAAATAGCGTATACTTGTACAGATAGAGCATTGCTAACTATAGAAATTAACAACAGTTGCAATAAGATGGTTTGGTAGCATAAATTTCATGAAGATAAAAATTTTGAAACTTTCTTGGTGTAATAAAAAGATTTTTTTTTTAATAAAAAATTGTGTAATTTGTCATACTGTGAAAGGAGCATATATATAAGTTTTATAAGAAGGGTTGCCCCCATTCCCTTTGTTGAAAATTTTAATTTATCTTAAATTGTATATGCAGCAAGAAGTCAAAGGTTTACATTTTTCTCACAAAGTCTATCTTCATAAATTGTATTTCAAATTTGGATTTGAATCTGATGGCATACCTTTGATAGTTTGTTGGATTTGAATCTGATGGCATACCTTAAATAGTGTGTTGGATTTGAATCTGATGGCAAACCTTTGATAGTGTGTTGGATTTGAATCTGATGGCAAACCTTTGATAGTGTGTTGGATTTGAATCGGATGGCAAACCTTTGATAGTGTGTTGGATTTGAATCTGGTGGCATACCTTTGATAGTGTGTTGGATTTGAATCTGGTGGCAAACCTTTGATAATGTGTTGGATTCGAATCTGATGGCATACCTTTGATAGTGTGTAGGATTTGAATCTGATGCCATACCTTTGATAGTGTGTAGGATTTGAATCTGATGGCATACCTTTGATAGTGTGTTGGATTTGAATCTGGTGGCAAACCTTTGATAGTTTGTTGGATTTGAATCTGATGGCATACCTTTGATAGTGTGTTAGATTTGAATCTGGTGGCAAACCTTTGATAGTTTGTTGGATTTGAATCTGGTGGCATACCCTTTGATAGTTTGTTGGATTTGAATCGGATGGCATACCTTTGATAGTGTGTTGGATTTGAATTGGATGGCATACCTTTGATAGTGTGTTGGATTTGAATCATACCTTTAATAGTGTGTGGGATTTGAATCTGATGGCATACCTTTGATAGTTTGTTGGATTTGAATTGGATGGCATACCTTTGATAGTGTGTTGGATTTGAATTGGATGGCATACCTTTGATGGTGTGTTGGATTTGAATCTGGTGGCATACCTTTGATAGTTTGTTGGATTTGAATCTGATGGCATACCTTTGACAGTGTGTAGGATTTGAATCTGATGGCATACCTTTGATAGTGTGTTGGAATTGAATCTGGTGGCAAACCTTTGATAGTTTGTTGGATTTGAATCTGATGGCATACCTTTGATAGTGTGTTGGATATGAATCTGATGGCAAACCTTTGATAGTTTGTTGGATTTGAATCTGATGGCATACTTTTGGTAGTGTGTTGGATTTGAATCTGGTGGCATACCTTTGATAGTGTGTTGGATTTGAATCTGATGGCATACCTTTGGTAGTTTGTTGGATTTGAATTGGATGGCATACATTTGATGGTTTGTTGGATTTGAATCGGATGGCATACCTTTGATAGTTTGTTTAATTTCTTCCCACCAATTTAAAACTCCAGATTATTTAGAGCTTGTACAGTCACCTGTCTTTTGTTGAGAACTGTATGTTTACCTATTGGTGTCTTTTAGTTATTTGTGTCGTTGGATTGCTGTCTCATTGATGTTGCACTCTACACAATAGTATACATTAAACCAAGAATTGTTATAAAGTGGCCTAATTGTATAAACAACTGAAGTCCTGTTCTAGGATGTAATGATTAGGGTATTGAACAGGATTATATAATTGTTTGAAATTAAATCAAACAAGAAGCACTTGTCAATCTAAGGAAATAAGTCTTCAAATCAATATCTCAAAAGCATTCTGGAATATTTAATACTCAGAAAGTCTTCAGAATGTGAAATTAAATTGTATTATAAGAGATTGTGTGGGTATTGGGTGTAAAATTTATGCCACTGCATCAAATTTATGTACAATTAACTATAGATCTACAGTTTAACCACCTATTTCTGTTTAAATTAGGGTAACTACAATCTAAAATCTACAGTATAACCTGTTTGTTAAAATTAGAGTAACTACAATCTAAAATCTACAGTATAACCTGTCTCTGTTAAAATTAAGGTAACTACGATCCGAAATCTACAGTTTAACCTGTTTCTGTTAAAATTAGGGTAACTACAATCTAAAATCTACAGTATAACCTATTTCTGTTAAAATTAGGGTAACTACAATCTAAAATCTACAGTATAACCTGTTTGTTAAAATTAGAGTAACTACAATCTAAAATCTACAGTATAACCTGCCTGTTAAAATTAGAGTAACTACAATCTAAAATCTACAGTATAACCTATTTCTGTTAAAATTAGGGTAACTACAATCTAAAATCTACAGTATAACTTGTTTCTGTTAAAACTAGGGTAACTGCAATCTAAAATCTACATTATAACCTGTTTCTGTTAAAATTAAGGTAACTACGATCCGAAATCTACAGTTTAACCTGTTTCTGTTAAAATTAGGGTAACTACAATCTAAAATCTACAGTATAACCTATTTCTGTTAAAATTAGGGTAACTACAATCTAAAATCTACAGTATAACCTGTTTGTTAAAATTAGAGTAACTACAATCTAAAATCTACAGTATAACCTGCCTGTTAAAATTAGAGTAACTACAATCTAAAATCTACAGTATAACCTATTTCTGTTAAAATTAGGGTAACTACAATCTAAAATCTACAGTATAACTTGTTTCTGTTAAAACTAGGGTAACTGCAATCTAAAATCTACATTATAACCTGTTTCTGTTAAAATTAAGGTAACTACGATCCGAAATCTACAGTTTAACCTGTTTCTGTTAAAATTAGGGTAACTACAATCTAAAATCTACAGTATAACCTATTTCTGTTAAAATTAGGGTAACTACAATCTAAAATCTACATTATAACCTGTCTCTGTTAAAATTAAGGTAACTACGATCCGAAATCTACAGTTTAACCTATTTCTGTTAAAATTAGGGTAACTACAATCTAAAATCTACAGTATAACCTATTTCTGTTAAAATTAGGGTAACTACAATCTAAAATCTACAGTATAACCTGTTTGTTAAAATTAGAGTAACTACAATCTAAAATCTACAGTATAACCTGCCTGTTAAAATTAGAGTAACTACAATCTAAAATCTACAGTATAACCTGTCTCTGTTAAAATTAAGGTAACTACGATCCGAAATCTACAGTTTAACCTGTTTCTGTTAAAATTAGGGTAACTACAATCTAAAATCTACAGTATAACCTATTTCTGTTAAAATTAGGGTAACTACAATCTAAAATCTACAGTATAACCTGTTTGTTAAAATTAGAGTAACTACAATCTAAAATCTACAGTATAACCTGCCTGTTAAAATTAGAGTAACTACAATCTAAAATCTACAGTGTAACCTATTTCTGTTAAAATTAGGGTAACTACAATCTAAAATCTACATTATAACTTGTTTCTGTTAAAATTAGGGTAACTGCAATCTAAAAGTTACACATTTACAGCACAGTCTGTTTATGAATTTTAAGGTATAATTTACAAATATGTACATATACGCCAAATAAAAAGATATTTTTATTATGATTCTTTGACTAAATATTTTTATGATATTCACATATCTAGTTAGTTTTATAATTATATTGTGACAGAATTATCATGATGGTAGAAGAAGAAATGTTTATGTACATGACATGTTTGGTTATCAGATACACCTTTATATTTGTACAATCATTTAAAATGTTGATTTTTTCTCATTTCAGAAATTTAAGTAATAACCAAATAACATTGATAGAACCAAATGTATTTGAAGGACTCCAGAATTTGGAAAAACTGTAAGTTACATTACAAATGTACCATTATAAAAGTCATAATAGGTTTTTAGAAAAAATAGAAGATTCTAATTTTGAAGTGTTGAAAATCTCCATGACTTTTGATATGAATGAACATTATTGTGGTTATCTATAATGGCATGGTGTTAATATAGATATATATACCTTCAAGAAAATTTGGTATACTTTGAAAGGGACATTTCTGATTCAAACAGTTGAAAAAAGGAGATCTAAAATGACCAATTTGAGGTTCCAACTTGATAACATGAGAATGTTTGACAAGACTCATTTGACAACACAATGCTTGAAAGCACTATACACTAGTTTATAGTTTGAATTTCACTCAATTAAAGACTAATGCCCTTAAAAACATGGAAAATAGAAAAGCCATGGGTTTGTCAGATTGTAATTTTGAGTGTACTTCAACAAAATCCTTTGACACATTCAGACAAAGCAAGGTGACCACAAAATACAAATACAGTATATTTTAACATCATGCATATCCTTCAGGATCTATAATATGCATTTACTCTGAATATTGCGAAAGTAGGCATTATTGAATTGGTCATATTTTTGGTTTTTATTTTGCATATATATATATATATATATATATATATATATATATATAAACTGTCAAAAACAGTCATCTAAATGTATTTGGGTGGGAGACACCTGTGTCCATTTACCAGGTACACAATTTCCTTTTATTTTCTCATATTTTTTATGGCCCCACCGTAGCGGAGGGGGCATTAAGTTTTACCCTTATCCGTCCGTACGTATGTCCGTCCGTAAGTCCCAAAGTTGGTTTCTGTTCTCTAACTTAAGTTTGCCTCAACCAAATTTTATGAAACTTATACACAATGCTTATTACCACAAAATACAGATCAAGGATGAATTTTGGTGGTGTCACTTTTATTGTTCTAGAGTTATACCCCTTTACAAATGGAAAAATTGCTGGATTTTTCGTTTCCATTCTCTAACTTAAGTTTGCCTCAACCAAATGTTATGAAACTTATACACAATACTTATTACCACAAAACTCAGATCAAGTACAAATTTGGGTAGTGTCACTTTTAATGTTCTTCAGTTATGTCCCTTTATAACTATATGATATGCAAGCGGGGGCATCATCTGTGTCCACATGTGGACACTATCCACACCTATTTTTATTTAATATCTCGAGTTTACATGTATCTGTTTCTGATTTTATACTTATTTATTTAGATAAAAGTGGTAAAATCCCTAAAAATTTGAATGTTTGTTATGCTAATTTTAATGTAATTTCATATTTTTAAGATGTAAGTGGGTGAGGTCAGAGCCGAAGAAGACTTAAATTAAGAAATCATCTTTTTCAATTTCAGTGCAAATTATTCCAGAGCTGTATTTCTATACAATATTTTAGGGAAAAAGCTTGTGCTTTAAATGATATTTAATTGATCCTTTAAACATTTAATATGTAAACAGTCATCATGATGAAGTATTGAGTTGACCAACATTACTGATAAATAGATAAATCAAATCGAAACATTTATTACATAGAGAAATATTTTAAGATATTTCTTTCATTGTCCTAATTCTGTAATAAATGGAAGGAAAAAAGGAAGTGAATAAAAAAGATAATTCCACAGTTAATCATGGTAATAATACTTAGTTTGTCATAAATAGATGGAAAAAAGGAGGTTGATAAATAAGTTAATTCCATAGGTAAAAATACGCACTGTATATATACCACAGGTAACATATTAAATCTTATGAGATGATTTCACTGAACGAGAAGAAAAATGGAAATGAATAGCTTGTCGTCGTGTGGTGTCCCGTCAATCTGATTAAGTTTTATTACAATGACAAATTCCCTTAAAGAAAAATTAAATCTTGTACAAAGTAATCTTTGCCATCTTTATTCACTTTTAAGAGACAACCTTGTTAGTTAAAGATTTAACATGAACTGTTGGGTTAAAGTTTTGATAGTTAGGCTCCTGTGTACTTTGTCATACCACAATGGTAATGAAGATTTAATTAACTACTGTTAAAATTAGTTTTGAAGAAGTTTATGAAAATGCTCCAGAAACGTTTTGACTTCACACTTGAATAAAAGTATTATTAGGTGTGATTTGGCCAATTTGAATCTGCTGATAATTGACTTTAATAGGTCCAATTTGGTTGTAATTTATTCTCAGTTGTGAGAACAACTGTCAAGAGTTCAATTGTCAATTTAGTTATTTATTCTCACAAAAACATAGAATCAAAAATGGAGGCAAAGATAAATGTCAATGATTTTAACCTTAACTCTTTTCTAAAATAATTTCATTACAAATATTTACTTTTTCAGTACAAATATTTGCTTTTGATCTTTTTACAGTAAAATGTTTTTGAACATCATCAAAATTTAATCAGTTTTTGGGCTAGCTTGTCTTTATTTCAGATTTTATAAGCATAACTTGAAGCTATGGTACAAAAAATGAAGATTATTTGACTATTTATAACAAAAAAGAAGAATTTCAGTATATTTTGGCAATTTAAATGTTTTCACAACTGTATTTCTTCAGTTTCTTCATAGGTATGACAAATTACCAGCATCAAAAACCCTGTATTATTATTAAAATGTATTAATATTATAATATCAAATTATCAATGTTATCTCAGTCATTTGGTATTGATTAAAACATTTCAGAGAATGTGATTATGAATTTTAGGAGCAAATATCCTTTATTCTAGATGTGAACATTTTATAGCTGTTAGAACATATCATTTGTATATATAAAACATGAAGTATCTTTATACTTAATTCTTTCTTGAAAACATTTTCTGTGTTCATTAGAAGATAAGATGAATAAGCAGACTGCTGGTGATGTTAGCAATTATGAATTAATGAAAAATGAAGTATTCTGAAAAAAACCTCTAATCAAATCTGATGTTCTTTAATAAAAAACCCTATGTTATTGGTTCAACGCTGGGGATATATTTATTTCCCAGTTCTAATTGTAAACAGAGGGAATTCAAATGGCTAGCTAATGTCACGCTAGCGTTAATGAGTTGATTGTTTGATAAAACCTAATTGATTTTTTGAGTGAATTCATCATATTGGGTACCTTTTAAACAATTGTTCCTATTGATATAAATTGTATTTGTACAAAAGCTACCAGAAGAAGTTCAATAGCAACATTGAAGAGGCCATAGGAGGGAGAAGTCTTGAAAAAATTATGTCAAGGCTGTTCAGGTGCATGGAATGATTCTGGCATAATTCCCCATTTAATAAAAATACTTAGAATTTATCAAGTTGAAAAATAAATAAGATTTATAATCAGCACTATTACAAACATGCCTCATGGCGCAGCTCTTTATTGCTAAATGCTTGGCCTGAATATCATACTTTAAAAGGGTTTTCCAAACTGATTGTGGTGGGGGATGGAAGGCACTAAAATTCATTAATTGTGATTTGTTTCATTTTTCTTAGAATTTTGTAAGAATTATAAATAAAATGAAAATTTTATATAATGAATGGTTGCATTTAAAAAATTGCCTCTCAGGCCCTTCATGTGTTTACTTCGTTACACTCATAAGGTCCATCTTAATTATATATATATTATATATATCTATTTTATCCAGCAATTGACTATTTCACTTTACAATTTTACTATACAAATACAGATGTACAGATGAAAAAATAAGAGATATCCATAAAATATACATATATATCTTCTCCTGGTTTCCTGTTTCTGTTGTAAGTGAACAGTTCCATTCAAATTTCTGTTCACATCACAATTTAATTTGTTTTGCCTGTTTAAGCAATGTTGATTTCTGTAGCTAATGTGAATTTAAAAAGCTGAACATTTTTGAAGTGTCAATGCCAATTTCTATAGGAGCGCAAAATTTTTGCAATCGTATATTGGTATCTCCTAGTCATCTGCGTCATCGAAGACATTTGGTTTCCGGACAATAACTTTAGTATATGTAAATAGAAATCTATGAAATTTAAAAACAAGGTTTATAACCATAAAAGGAAGGTTGGGATTGATATTGGGGGTTCTGGTCAATTCGCAACAGTATAGTGTATTGCACAAAAGCAAAAAATTGAATATAAATTCAAATCATATAACCAATTCTAAGTTCTTTGACTACAGTTATTCTGTGTCAGAAACCTATTATGTGTCAAATATTTAATTACAATCCAAATTCAGACCTGTATCAAGCGCTAATATTGTGTCCATTTTTGCCCTAACTGTTCGGGGTTGGACCTCTGCGGTCGTATCCAGCTGCACTAGGCGAAGCAATTTATTTAAATTGCAGGGCTAAAACATTTTTTTTTTATAATTTAATACCCCTCTCCCTCTTATTCGTATGCTTTAAAGGAGGGAGGAATACTGGTTTTTCTCCTTCTGTCTGTCAATTGCTCGATCAGGCTGTCCATCCCATGAAATTTTTATTGCATTTTCTCCCAAACTATCCAAGAAATTAGGTATCAGGCTTCAAACTACTAAGACAAACAATTTTTATGTACAATCCATTTTGATCAGATACAGACTAGCATGTTTATATTTCAGGTTCATTTTATGGAAGGAGATGGAAAGTCTCTCTTTTTCAGAAATTGTGTTTAACAAAATGACCATTGTATTTTCAGGGACATGTCAAACAACAAGATTGGAAGTATCAACAGTTCAATATTTACAGGCTTACCAAAATTACAGAAATTGTAAGTTGTCAGTTCTTAATGAAAGTTGTTAATAATGTATACCTTTTAAAACAAAAATTTCTTGTTGTATGATAAAAATAAAACCAACACAACTTATCTACAGATGTTGCATAAAATAATGAAACCTGCATTTATAAAAGAACAAAAAAACAAAGCTATAAAAATTGATATTTAAAGATTTCCAAACTCTTTAATGTACCGTAGGTTTTATATAATATTTTTCCTTGTTAAAGCTCTATTTGACTTTCAGTTTTAAACAATGAATTGAAATGTGAAACTTCTGTTATTTGATTAATCCACCAATGACCCATATAGTTGATTGGTCCACCAATGACCCGTATAGTTGATTGGTCCACCAATGACCTGTATAGTTGATTGGTCCACCCATGACACATGAAGTTGATTGGTCCATCAATGACCCATATAATTGATTGGTCCACCCATGACAAAGTTGATTGGTCCACCAATGACCCATAGAGTTGATTGGTCCACCAACGAAACATGAAATTGATTGGTCCGCCAATGACACATGAAGTTGATTGGTCCATCAATGACCCATATAGTTGATCGGTCCACCAATGACCCATATAATTGATTGGTTCACCAATGACCCATATAATTGATTGGTCCACCAATGACCCATATAATTGATTGGTCTACCAATGGCAGTTTGACCCATATAGTTGATTGGTCCATCAATGACCCATATATATATATATATATTCTGGAAATTAAGTGACATGTCTGGTGCAACTGTTCAAATCTTATCATGGTTTACTTAGATACCTAGAAATCATTGTATATTCCGTTTCTGTACATTATTGTGATGAATAGAATTGGTTATTTTCTTTAATACTAGTTTCTTTCTTTTCCATTATTATAATTATATCATGTCAATCTAGATTAGCATAAATAAAGGAAGCAACCTAACAACAACAAAAATAACCAAAAGACAGACTTCTAGTGGGCAATATATGGTCTTCAACAGTAGTCAGGTTTTACATAAATGAAGTCAAAATTATAAGAAGACTTTGGAATAATAATAAAAAGTATCAAAGAAATGTAGGCCTTTGTTTTTATATTGATCACCTTCTAAGAACACACAAGAAGACAACGGTATAATGAATTATAATCTTGACTTGTACCTGTCAACTACATGCAGATAGATTACAGGAAGAGTTGAGTGTTCAAAAGGATGTTTAACCTCGGCATATACTTTATGTCTAAAACAAGGAACTGGTCTTTTGATGTCTCAGTCTTATTGTGTAATTGTTTTTTCTGACTATCTCTTTATCTATGCTGTAGACTTCATTTTTGAAGACTTTGTGTAGATTGTTCCAATTCTTTCCTAAGGAATCTGCATAACCACCCAGGATGTAGCCATACTAGCCACTAAATCTAAACACAGAAATATAGTACCCACTACTTTTCATGTCTTTGTAAATATGCAAAAATGAACTGTGAAAAATTTGAATTATAAATCTTTATCAATTTGCTTGCTAGTTTGGTAATTTTTTAATTATAAAAAAGTAAGCATACAGATACATTACCAGTATGATTAAAAGCTTTCATGATCATTAAACAGTAGACTATTTTCATATTACTGACTTTTAAATTCAGACTACATAGTTTTTTTACAGGTTACCTGCTCTGGGGTATGACATTCTGTTACTTAGTCAAGTAAGAGCAACTTAAAAGAAGTTAATTCAAGCTTACATTCAGTGAAATTTTTTTTTTTTTGGGGGGGGGGGGGGGGAATTGACTGTTTTATGTTTTCTCTACACAACAAAATCATTTGAAAACAGTTATTTTTCCCCAAATTAAATTGCACCAAATGTTAGCTCTTTTACTTCTTTGAATTGCTCTTACTTGACCGAGTACCAGAATGTCCTACCACAGACTAGGTAGCCTGTCAAAAAATTATATTACTCAAGGGCCAAAAGTCTGTAATTTGAAAATAGTCTATTACACACAAAGGTGGAGTTTTTATTTGAGTTCCCATTTTTTAATTCAAATCTTAAGATAAGGGCAAAATGCAAGTAATTGTCTAATATGTTAAAAACCATAATAGGAAATTTGACCAGACAACAATGTTCTGAAAATCAAAATCTACATACTTTTCATTTTCCTCAATATTATCAGATGACTCCTCCTTGTGTGAGAGTTATTGCCCTTTGAATTTTTATACGACCGCAAACAAATTTGGGTTGTATATTGGTATCAGGTCGTCATCGTCAGCGTAGTCCTAAGACATTTGGTTTCCAGACAATAACTTTAGTAAATGTCAATAGAAATCTATGAAATTTAAACACAAGGTTTATAACCACAAAAGGAAGGTTTGAATTGATTTTGGGGGTTATAGTCCTAACAGTTTAGGAATTAGTGGCCAAAAAGGGAAAAACAAGGGTTTCCTGGTTAATGGACAATTAAAAAAAAAGTGCAATGTAATGTTTGGATTACCTCCCTTACACTGCTTTTAAATTATGTATAAAGAAATGTTGTATTGTCTTGAGGTGATTAGCTGTCAATTTATTTTTAGAAGTTACTATTTAAAAATGATGATTAAGGAATATTAATTTTAGCCATGATAATGTATGTCATTTTCTATTTTAAGACTTTTATGTATTTAAATGGGTAATTATTGTTGCAAACTCCATTGGAAATTTGAATTGAGATAATGACCATATTTTGAGGGAAAGAATTTTTATGTCCCCGCCGTATCAGAGGGGGCATTAAGTTTTACCCTTGTTCGTCTGTTCGTACGAACATACGTCCGTCCATACATCCCAAAATTGGTTTCCATTCTCTAACTTGAGTTTGCTTCAACCAAATGTTATGAAACTTATACACAATGCTTATTACCACAAAACACAGATCAAGTTTGAATTTTGGTGGGGTCACTTAAACAGTTCTAGAGTTATGCCCCTTTATAAATGGAAAAACTGCAAAATTTTTAGTTTCTGTTCTCTAACTTATTTAAGTTTGCCTCAACCAAATGTTATGAAACTTATACACAATGCTGTTTACCACAAAATACAGATTAAGTTGAATTTTTGTGGCGTCACTTTAATCATAATGGAATTATGCCCCTTTAAAAATCGAAAAATTGCAAAATTTTTAGTTTCTGTTCTGCAACTTAAGTTTGTCCCAACCAAACATTATGAGACCTATACACAATACTTATTACCACAAAACTCAGATCAAGTACAAATTTTGGTAGCGTCACCATTATCATTCTTGAGTTATGTCCCTTTATAATGTTGTATGCAAGCGGGGGCATCATCTGTGTCCATGGGGACACATTCTCCATTTATTTTTTTTGGAAGGGGGGTCAATTCTCAACAGCATAGTGTATTGCACAAAAGCAAAAAAAAAAACGGGGAGGGGGGGTAATTTTTTTTTTTAAATGTTTTTTTGTGGGGGGTGGGGGGGGGGGGGGGGGGGGGTCAATTCGCCACAGCATTGTGTATTGCACAAAAGAAAAAAAATTGAATATAAATTGAAATCATATAACCAATTCTAAGTTCTTTGACTACAGTTATTCTGTGTCAGAAAACTATAATGTGTCAAATATTTAATTACAATCCAAATTCAGATCTGTATCAAGCGCGAATATTGTGTCCATTTTTGCCCCAACTGTTCGGGGTTGGACCTCTGTGGTCATATCCAGCTGCGCTCGGAGAAGCAATTTATTTTGTTCTTTTTTTGGTATCTATCTTAAAAACTATAAAAGATAAAGGGAAACTGTAAACAGAAAATGTGATCAGCAGGTTTAAGATACAGAAAATATTACTGGCGGTCTCCAAACTAATTTGCTTTTAGTAAATTTCACAGTATTCTCTTGTCGTTTTGCTTATTGAGTAAATTGAAATGTGTGGTAATGTTTTATTGTTTGTTTACTGTCTCATTGATATTATCATTATATCATATACACTACAGCTGAGGTGGATTTTGTCATTTAAGTCCATCCACAGTTGTAGTGGACACAGAGTGGATTAAGTTTGTAGATGATTCCTCATGCTGAACTTATATGGGGAAAATGCCAGTTCTTTTCTAGCATCATACAGATTTTTTACAAAGTTAAACTTTGAGGTCAATATTTTTAAAGAAATCTAAGGTTTGATTTGAACAGGCAAAATATGACTGCCCAGTGAACCCGTAGTTGGAAATGACAAAATCTAAATTAGCTATTTGTCCACCATTTCTGACTGTCACAGACGTTCCCATAAAATTTTGATGTCATAAGAAAAAGTGTCTGATGGAACAATGCAAGGTGATTGTTGTATGACGTCAATAGTTCAAGTGTCACAAAATCTTGGGTCAGGTGTCACAGATTCTGAATTAGCGATAAGGTCTATAAATGCAACACAAATTTATTCAAACAGAAAATTTTCATAGAACTCATTTCATAATTTGTGTAGATAACTGGTATATAGCATATACTCCCACCATCAATTAAGTGAGAAATTTCAATCATTCCCAAGGGATTACAGAAGGGGAATAAAAACATTACTGTGATTACAACTCAAGGATTACAAAAAATAAAAAGGTTATTATGGAAAGTTAATAACACGAAAGCACAGCACTTTTTACCCTAAAGTCCTATATTTTACAATTATCAAACAGAGACATATTAACCCATTAGTGTTAAAAGAAACATATCAAATATTTATGGCACCTTTCAGCACTAATTGGAAAATTCTAATTTTGCAGAGTCTTTCTTTTTTGCACAATTTCTGGATATGATTCAGTTTTCTATAATGTAATATCAATTAAAGGAAATAACTTTGTGTACCAGAAAATGAATCGTTTAGCTGTTTGAGCTACATATTATGAATTTTCGTTATTTTCTTTAGAAAGGTACATACAGATATTTATAATCGAAATAAACGTACTCTTTTTGTATCAAAACAAAATGGTTTGATAGAGTTATGTTAGGATTTTACATGAATTTATTTCCATGAAATAGATTTTGCTTAAGACGACAAATCATTATAAAATTTTGGCAGGAATGGAAGTTATAATTAAAAACTGCAAGGTGGAAGATTGCTTTTTATGCCCCCGCCCTAGTGCAGGGGGCATTAAGTTCTACCCTTGTCCGTCCGTACATCCGTATGTCTGTATGTTCCGAAATTGGTTTCCGTTCTCTAACTTAAGTTTGCCTCAACCAAATGTTATGAAACTTATACGCAATGCCCATTACCACAAAACTCAGATCAAGTACAAATTTGGGTAGCGTCACTTTTACTGTTCTAGAGTTATGTCCCTATATAACGTTATATGCAGTTCCCCATTAATTTAAATAGTGATCCAAAGGAGTAAAAAATGGTTTTGTTTTCGATGATAATAAGACTTATGTTTCCTCTCAAAAAACAACTGAATACATGTAGTAGGTACATTCAATTTTAAAAACTTCTTAATGGGAGAACATTTGCATAAAATATTTTTTAAATATTTCACAAAATTAAGTTATTAACAAAATAACTGGGTATATCAAACATATTTTATGACAAAATTGTAGACTAGATATAAAGTCTAAAGCATCTTTAATGTTTTTCAGGATTCTCTCTTCCAACAAGTTCAACACTATACCAGAAGGAACCTTTAACCCATTGATTTCTCTCAGGAAAATGTAAGTTTGTTGTTGGATTGCTGTCTAATGGTTTTATGTCTGCATTCAGTTCTTCATATAATACTACTGTAGGATAAAAAAAAATTACTTAATCATAAGAGGATTTGTGTAGATTTAAAATTTTACATATAACCAGATAATCATGCCCAAACTATGCTTCCAGTGTTCCAGTTTTAAGGTTAATCGAAAAGGCAGAAAAACAACTTTAAAGCATAAGAGAAAATCAGGTCTTATGAGAATTCAAGACACTCAATTCTGATGGTTTTGACAAGTGGTGTTTTATAAACAAAAACTGTTTTGAGCAGGTGCATAAATATCTTATACCTTTATAATACATTGATGAGAAGTTTCATAGGCTATAAAAACCTGTTTAATTAAACTGTGTTTAGATCAAACAAAAGACTGTTTATGTCTCTGCAGATGTTTAAATATATTCAAAAGTCTTGGTAGCATCCACACAGATCTTATTTTGTTATTTTGTATCAGCTTTAAATCTGAAATGGTTTAAATCTACAAAATTTCATTGTAAAGCATAAAAGATGGTGTTGATAATTCCATAAAAAGATGTCCAATTGTTTCTACATCGCTTCCTTATTGAGACAATATTGACTGATGTCAAACATAATAAATAAAGTGAATAACTAGTATCACTAAAACATTGACAGTACAACACTACCACAGCATCCATCAGAAACATTAGACAGTACAACAGTACCACATCAACCATCAGAAACATTGACAGTACAACACTACCACATCAACCATCAGAAACATTGGACAGTACAACACTACCACATCAACCATCAGAAACATTAGACAGTACAACACTACCACAGCATCCATCAGAAACATAGGACAGTACAACACTACCACAGCATCCATCAGAAACATAGGACAGTACAACACTACCACATCAACCATCAGAAACATTGACAGTACAACACTACCACACCAACCATCAGAAACATTGGACAGTACAACACTACCACATCAACCATCAGAAACATTGACAGTACAACACTACCACACCAACCATCAGAAACATTGGACAGTACAACACTACCACATCAACCATCAGAAACATTGACAGTACAACACTACCACACCAACCATCACAAACATTGGACAGTACAACACTACCACATCAACCATCAGAAACATTAGACAGTACAACACTACCACACCAACCATCAGAAACATTGACAGTACAACACTACCACACCAACCATCACAAACATTGGACAGTACAACACTACCACATCAACCATCAGAAACATAGGACTACTACACTACCACACCAACCATCAGCAACATTGACAGTACAACACTACCACATCAACCATCAGAAACATTAGACAGTACAACACTACCACATCAACCATCAGAAACATTGACAGTACAACACTACCACATCAACCATCAGAAACATTGGACAGTACAACACTACCACATCAACCATCAGAAACATTAGACAGTACAACACTACCACAGCATCCATCAGAAACATAGGACAGTACAACACTACCACAGCATCCATCAGAAACATAGGACAGTACAACACTACCACATCAACCATCAGAAACATTGACAGTACAACACTACCACACCAACCATCACAAACATTGGACAGTACAACACTACCACATCAACCATCAGAAACATAGGACTACTACACTACCACACCAACCATCAGCAACATTGACAGTACAACACTACCACATCAACCATCAGAAACATTGGACAGTACAACACTACCACATCAACCATCACAAACATTGACAGTACAACACTACCACATCAACCATCAGAAACATAGGACTACTACACTACCACACCAACCATCAGCAACATTGACAGTACAACACTACCACATCAACCATCACAAACATTGACAGTACAACACTACCACATCAACCATCAGAAACATAGGACTACTACACTACCACACCAACCATCAGCAACATTGACAGTACAACACTACCACATCAACCATCAGAAACATTGGACAGTACAACACTACCACACCAACCATCACAAACATTGGACAGTACAACACTACCACATCAACCATCAGAAACATAGGACTACTACACTACCACACCAACCATCAGCAACATTGACAGTACAACACTACCACATCAACCATCAGAAACATTAGACAGTACAACACTACCACATCAACCATCAGAAACATTAGACAGTACAACACTACCACACCAACCATCAGCAACATTGACAGTACAACACTACCACACCAACCATCAGAAACATTAGACAGTACAACACTACCACATCAACCATCAGAAACATTAGACAGTACAACACTACCACATCAACCATCAGAAACATAGGACAGTACAACACTACCACATCAACCATCAGAAACATTGACAGTACAACACTACCATACCAACCATCAGAAACATTGACAGTACAACACTACCACATCAACCATCACAAACATTGACAGTACAACACTACCACATCAACCATCACAAACATTAGACAGTACAACACTACCACATCAACCATCAGAAACATTAGACAGTACAACACTACCACATCAACCATCAGAAACATAGGACAGTACAACACTACCACATCAACCATCAGAAACATTGACAGTACAACACTACCATACCAACCATCAGAAACATTGGACAGTACAACACTACCTCATCAACCATCAGAAACATTTGACAGTACAACACTACCACAACAAACAAAAAACATTGACAGTACAACACTACCACAGCATCCATCAGAAACATTGACAGTACAACACTACCACATTAACCATCAGAAACATTAGCCAGTACAACACTACCACATCAACCATCAGAAACATTGGACAGTACAACACTACCACACCAACCATCAGCAACATTGACAGTACAACACTACCATACCAACCATCAGAAACATTGGACAGTACAACACTACCTCATCAACCATCAGAAACATTTGACAGTACAACACTACCACACCAACCATCAGAAACATTGACAGTACAACACTACCATACCAACCATCAGAAACATTGGACAGTACAACACTACCACACCAAACACAAAAAACATTGACAGTACAAGACTACCACATCAACCATCAAAAACATTGGACAGTACAACACTACCACACCAAACACAAAAAACATTGACAGTACAAGACTACCACATCAACCATCAAAAACATTGGACAGTACAACACTACCACATCAACCATCAGAAACATAGGACAGTACAACACTACCACATCAACCATCAGAAACATTGGACAGTACAACACTACCACATCAACCATCAGAAACATAGGACAGTACAACACTACCACATCAACCATCAGAAACATTGGACAGTACAACACTACCACATCAACCATCAGAAACATTGGACAGTACAACACTACCACATCAACCATCAGAAACATAGGACAGTACAACACTACCACATCAACCATCAGCAATATTGACAGTACAACACTACCATACCAACCATCAGAAACATTGGACAGTACAACACTACCACACCAAACACAAAAAACATTGACAGTACAAGACTACCACATCAACCATCAAAAACATTGGACAGTACAACACTACCACACCAAACACAAAAAACATTGACAGTACAAGACTACCACATCAACCATCAAAAACATTGGACAGTACAACACTACCACATCAACCATCAGAAACATAGGACAGTACAACACTACCACATCAACCATCAGAAACATTGGACAGTACAACACTACCACATCAACCATCAGAAACATTGGACAGTACAACACTACCACATCAACCATCAGAAACATAGGACAGTACAACACTACCACATCAACCATCAGCAATATTGACAGTACAACACTACCACATCAACCATCAGAAACATTGGACAGTACAACACTACCACATCAACCATCAGAAACATTGGACAGTACAACACTACCACACCAACCATCAGAAACATTGGACAGTACAACACTACCACACCAACCATCAGAAACATTGGACAGTACAACACTACCACACCAACCATCAAACATTGGACAGTACAACACTACCACACCAACCATCACAAACATTGGACAGTACAACACTACCACACCAACCATCACAAACATTGGACAGTACAACACTACCACACCAACCATCAGAAACTTTGAACAGTACAACACTACCACACCAACCATCACAAACATTGGACAGTACAACACTACCACACCAACCATCAAATATATTGACAGTACAACACTACCACACCAACCATCAGAAACTTTGGACAGTACAACACTACCACACCAACCATCAGAAACATTGACAGTACAACACTACCACATCAACCATCAGAAACATTGACAGTACAACACTACCACATCAACCATCAGAAACATTGACAGTACAACACTACCACACCAACCATCAGAAACATTGACAGTACAACACTACCACACCAACCATCACAAACATTGGACAGTACAACACTACCACATCAACCATCAGAAACATTGGACAGTACAACATTACCACATCAACCATTAAAAACATTGGACAGTACAACACTACCACACCAACCCTCAGAAACATAGGACAGTACAACACTACCACACCAACCATCAGAAACATTGACAGTACAACACTACCACACCAACCATCAGAAACATTGACAGTACAACACTACCACATCAACCATCAGAAACATTGGACAGTACAACATTACCACATCAACCATTAAAAACATTGGACAGTACAACACTACCACACCAACCCTCAGAAACATAGGACAGTACAACACTAACACACCAACCATCAGAAACATTGACAGTACAACACTACCACACCAACCATCAGAAACATTGGACAGTACAACACTACCACACCAACCATCACAAACATTAGACAGTACAACACTACCACATCAACCATCAAAAACATTGACAGTACAACACTACCACACCAACCATCAAAAACATTGACAGTACAACACTACCAAACCAAC